ATAGAAGACATAGGTATAAATTTAACAAGAAATGTTCAGGAATCATAAAAAAACTATAAAATACTCCAAAGGGACATGAAATTAACTTGGACAAAAAGAAAGAGAGAATCATATAAAGATAGGTATCATGCTCTGTAATTTAATTTATAAATGTAATATCATCCAAATCCAAAATATGTCCAAATACAGGAGCATTTTCTAGAGCTAGACAAGTTTATTGTAAAATTCATTTGGCAGAGCTTAAAATCAAAAGTACTCAAGAAAACCCTCAAAAGGAAGAATAACAGCGGAATAGAGAATCGCTACTCCCTGCAGACATTAAAGTACACACGAAGCTTCTACAGTAAATGACATTATATTACTGAATGGATGGATATACAGAAAAATGGATCGGATGAGGAACCCAAAAACAGGTAGAATTATATAGGCACATCAATGTGCAAAATTTTCAGAATTATAACTCCACTGGGTAAAGTTGGACATTTTAATAAGTGGTGTTGAAATACCTGGACTGCCATATGCAAAAAATGATGAAATTAGACATAATCCTTACACCCTACACCATAATAATTTCCAAATAGTCAAAGATTTACATGTTTAAAAAAAGAAGCGATACTAATGTTAAAAGAAAACATTGAAAAACCATTCTATAGCTTGAGGAGGCAGGATATTTTTCTACATACAATTCAAAATTCCGTTGCAAAAAAGGGAGCAATGGTGATTTTGACTACTTAAAATAAATGTTTGCACAATCACCAAAGTAAAATATAAATTACAGAACAGAAAATATATGCAAACTAAACTAATAGATTAATACCCTTTAGACAGGAGGGACCCTTTTTAAAAAGTTAACAATCCTGTTAGAAAAATAAGCACTGGAAATTGAACAGATGGTTCACAGAAAAAAATGCAAATAGACTTTAAGCATCAGATAAAGTGCTCAAGCTTGCCTCGTAATAAAAACATGCAGACAGAATCAATAATAGATGATCTATGACTCCACTCCTCTCACCTTGAGAGGGTCCCTTCCAACAAGTCTCCTTGGACACAAAACATTCTCATGCTCTTACTAGAACACACCTGTTGGGTTGCTTGTCATAGACAAACCTGGACTTCAAGAACGTATGCAGCAGCGGGCTGGGGATTTAGCTCAGTGGCGCCGCTGCCTGCCTCACAAGCACGAAGTCCTGAGTTGGATCCGCAGTACTACTACTACTACTACTAATAATAATAATAATTGTTTAAATGTATGGAGCAGGGGCAGCTACAGAATGGGAGTTGAGCTGCATAGATTCTCACTGCAGGTGCCTAACGAGAATAAACAAACCATGAAGCTGCAGGCTTGGCTTCCCCAGAACTGATGTTGTGTTGTACATGTTGTTAACATTCATCTTATTCTGACATGGAAACATTCCCAGGCAACGAAGAAGATTCCCTTTTGGAAGCTTCATCTGATGCATTGCAAACACTCGAGAAGAGCACACAGTGTCTTTGTTGCTCCTGGCTTTATTTTTCCATCCTGCATGTAGTCTGGTGTTGGGTAAGATTTGTAATTTGTTGGAGTTACTCCGGCAAGCTGACATTTTGTGGGAAAGTGGATACTATGGTTTACTGATTAGGTTGGCAGGAAAAATCCCCCATGCTGCTGTGGGGAAAGGAGCATGTTTATGCACTGCTGATTAGAAAACAAAATGGTATATAAAATTTAGCAGTGTGGAACACAAACAGCTATGCATGTAAACTGTGGCCTCATTTATTGCCGTCTTCTAGGAATCTGAACACACATTAGCCCCCACCCAAAGGCTCAAAACACCAGATGACTGGTAGACAACTGCTTTAGTAAGCAATGCAAAGTCCATACCATGGAGTACTATGCTGCAATGAAGAACAAGGAGTAACTTGCTGTGTTTCTGTAGAGTGATTTCCGGATTATACTGTGAAGTGAAAAAAGCCAGGTCTAGAAGAGTCGTGTAGTATCGATATTTTATCCCCAAAATAGGCATTATACAAGTAGAGCTAAATGTTTGCTTATTTTATAAATAATCAATGGAAAGACAAAACAGATTAAAATTAAAAGGCTGTCTATAGGTCTCAGGAGAAGACCGGTCACGAGGCAGGAACATATGCTTAACTTCTCTGAATATGTGACTGAGTTTCACAGTTACACAACAAAAACGAACCAAACTCTTTTAAAAACCCAATCAATCCATAAAACAAAACTACAATAAAACAAATCAACCAAATAGATATTGATCAGTGGCTTAACTTCATGGAGAGAAAATGTTTAAGTGACATAAAAGCCCAGGAATTTCACTCTCTATGTCCTCAGTGGGATCCAGCAGAAAAGCCCAAATCTTTCAAGTACAATATTGGTAATCATCTTCTCACACCCATGCGTATTTATGCGTGTGAGTAATTACAGATATGCAAGTGATAACAGTGGTACCATTGTCCTGATGCACATGTATATGTGCACATTCATATTGTCAACCCCATGCACAAATATGGATAAATAAGATTAAAATGAAAGCACAAACACTCAGGACTTGATGTACAGCACAGTGACCAGACTTGATAATGATGGATTTGTGTACTGGAATTTGCTAAGTGGTGATCCCAAGTGTTTTCAACACACACACACGCGCACACACACTCACACAAAGGTAACAATGTGAGATGGTAGATGTGTTAATTAGCTTGGCTGTGGTGATCATGTCACAGAATATACATATATCAGGGCCGGGGATTTAGCTTAGCAGTTCGGTGGCCTGCCTTGCAAGTGCGAGGACCCAAGTTCAATCCCCGGTACCAAAAAAAAAAAAGAATATTCATATATCAAAACATCATGCTGTAAACTCTGAACGCGTGCAGTTTTTATTTGTCAGTCACATTCAAAGTTGGAAAATTAAAGCAAATAGGTAATTATATTAACATTATGAGGAACCAAGTTTTTTTTAGCATAAAGGTAAACAGATTTAAATGCAAAATCAAGGAAATAAAGCAAAAATTTTGCAACAGTAAATTATTCACAGTAGATACTCATGTTGTTTTCTGTTGTTATAAAAACAGAATATTTTCTATCTCTGACCAGTGAGAAGTGAAGAGATGAAGACCAGCCATGAAGCACTAAGTCACCTCCACACCAGAGTACTTTCAGCACATGTTTTTCTCCAAGAACTTGGGCTCTGGGGAGAAACGGCAGACCCGGGTCTGAGGCAGGTTCAAAGGGTGAGCAAGGAGAATCCTGCGCACCAAAACCAAGACAGCTGTGAGACTCCTACAATCACGTCAGAAGGCCTCAAGGGCCAGCTTAAAGGAGTTCCCCTTAGCCAAAGATAAAAAGAGTGTGTGAAGAGAAGAGAGGAAGGACAAAGAGGGGGAAAAGGAAAAAGAGGGAAGGGGAGGAAGGGAGGGAGGACAAGATTCTGAAAGACAATTGTGTTAAAAATGCATTCATAATAATACTAAAACCAATCAAAACAAAGAGAAGTTTTGGTTACCTTTGTGAAACCGTGGTTAATAAAGGGGAGAAACCAAGCAGTTTTCCTGCCAGTCCAGTGTGAGCTCTGGCTCAGAGTAACCATGGAAAAGCTCACAGAAAGTTTCCAGCTCTGAAGAGTTGCAGGTAACACATGGAGAAGCGTAGATGTACCACTTTTCAGGTTCATGGCTATACGGGTCAAGGGCTGAGAGAGCGCGGGAGGAGAAAAGCTGCTACAGAGCTCTGAATAATGCATGGTGCAGAGAGCACTCAGCCCCCTGGCCAATCATGATGTCTCAAAAGCAGAGACCTGGCGTTCTCTGCCTCCCCAGGGGACATACAAGAAGCACACGGCATCGCCAAGACCTGCCCTTAAGAGGGAAAGGGGACTTGATCTGATTTATGAAAACAAAAGAAAACAAAACAAAAAACAAAGTAATGTATCATTTGATACTAAAGAGTGCAAACAACAAAATCTAGAATGATATTTTTACAGACTAATCAGATTTCTTTAACAAATACATAGCAAGGGTGGGATGTGGGAAGAAAGATGTGAACTGAGATATTTAAAAAGATTCAAGACGTCAATCAAATACAGCACAGGGACTCTGGATCTTGATTTGAAAAAAAAAATCTAAGAAGAAAATATGCACGATATGATCAGGAAAATTTGAACACTGGATAGTTCATAAAATTAAACAATTAAGATTCATGTGGCGATGTGTCATGGTTATGTTCAACTGTAGGGCTACCTAAGGACTCACTGACAGGTGAAAATAACAGGGTATCTGGCATTAATTTCAAAAGAATCCAATAGCTGAGGGACAAAGGGCAAAGGGAGGTCATGTAGATGAAAACTACATTTGGTCGTGTGTTGATAATTGCTGAATCCAGTTATAGATACAAAGGGAAATCGATTATACTGTTCTCTGTACCTTTATGTATGTCTGAAATTCCCATAATAAGTTATTACAGACTTGTGAACACACACACAGACACACACATGTGCACACACATATATACACACACATTAAAACAAAGAGATGTGGAGGAAAAAGCACAAGACATTAACTTGCACAAGATCACGTAGCAAGTAAGTTACAGAGCTGGTAATCATTATGGAAATTAAAGTTATATTAAAATTATGGAAACAAGAGGAACTAGATATTATTATTTTTGTTAAATCCCCCATTCTTAGCAGGGTATTTGGCACAAAATTGCCTAACAAAGCTTTGTTGCATGAAATATTTTTAATTAATGTCTTGCTCCAAAAAGGGTTTAGAATCAAATGAGTGAATAAAGGCAACATGCAAAGCTTTATTATGAAATTAGGATCTTTCTTTAGATGTGATAACCATATTTCCGGTGGCTCAATATTCATGTAATCCATCTTAAAAAACACACTTCATTATTCAATTTTTCTAACATGGACACAATAATATAATGCTGCTCCTATCATTTATTCCGCTCTTGCAAATGCTTCAGTTTTGTAATCTGTTTTAGAAAGTGTTTTGCTGACCTGAGTACAGAACTCTGCTATGGCTCTGCCCGTGGGTCGAGGCTGTTATTTCCCTCTGCATAGTTCATTCTTCCACAAATGTTACTGAGCACCCACGGTCGGCCAGGTGTCCCACGGTGTGTATTCCAACCCTAAATGGCAGTTTTAAAAAAGTATATGTAAATTATCCCATTATTTTGAGATCATTTTTCCTTCTTGACTTACTATGCAATCCTGTCTACTCTGCCCTAAGCCTCAGGCCAATCACCAAAGGTTCCCTCAGCTACCGCGGGGAGACTAACCACACGCTTTCCCCCCTTTCCGTTTTCACTCAGCACACAAGGCCTTCCGCCAGTTCAGTTCCCATCTCCTGCTGTGGGAATTCCTTCTCACCCCACCCAGTTCCTCAAACACAGAGCAGATCTCTCAGGCTTCCATTCCCCGCAACACTTCGGCCAACTCCTTACATACGAAAGAAACTCTGAGCGTAGGGAGGAATTCGTGGATTGCTGAGGCAATGCACACACTCACATAATCCTTGCCAAGAATGCTATTAGTGTTGTAGCAGAGAGCTTATGATGTTCCCATTGGTTTCTTATTTTATTCCATCCTGTCAACAACTCTGACTTCTATATAACTGTTCACCCGCTTTACAGATGAGGAAACTGAGTCTGAGAGACTCACAAGAACCAGTGCGACCCTCAAAATTGTTCTTCGTGATTATTCTATTCTAAGTTACTTTTTCTAAATGAAAGTATAATTGCATATATCAGAAAGCTCTCTGTGTATTTGCTTTCACAATAATCCTTGGACATGTGCACCAGGACAAACTGTGTTCCATCAGCATTCTAAATGAAAGGCTGGAGACGGCACCAATGGAGGTACAACCTGAAGGGATCGGCATGGATAGGCACTTCCTCATCAACTGGGGATTGTGAGATACTGAATAGTTAAGGGAGTGTTAAGGAATTCCATCCTCTGTAAAATTTCAAAGCAAGCCTGGCACCAGTTCTTGCAAATAAAGTTTTACTGAGACACATTCACACTTCTTTGTTTCTAGATTTTCCATGACTGCTTTTCTGTTCCAAAGGCCAAGTTGGGTAGAGGGGCTTCACCTGTCTGGCTCATCCTAAACAAGTTTGTGACTCTGGGATCAGATGCACAGGTAAGATTTATGACAGTTTATTGATTGTGTGCTTGCATTTACAGGGCCCAAATTTAAGGGGGCAGGGATCATTACCCACAGGATTTATTAGTGTGGGCAGACAAAACAAATAGAAAAATCTGCAGTGTTAGGAGCCCTACCTTGGAACATAATACACACTTAGAAAATAGAAAAGAAAGAAAAAGGAGGCGGAAGGAATTTTCATTCATTAAGAAGTTAAATTCTTGGCCAGGCGTGGTGGCACATGCCTGTAATCCCAGCACTCGGGAGGCTGAGGAAGGAGGACTGCTGTGAGTTCGAGACCAACCTGAGCTACATAGTGAGTTCCAGGTCAGTCTCAACTACACAGTGAGACCCTGTCTCAAAAAACCAAAAAAAAAAAAAAAAGTTAAATTTTTGGGCCGGGGATTTAGCTCGGTGGTTCTGCCACCTGCCTCACAAGTGCAAGGACCCGAGTTCGATCCCCAGTACAAAAAAAAAAAGTTAAATTTTTGGTGTCCAGATCTTTGTTCTTCGATATTACTTAGAATGACTACTGGAATGCAGTAATCTATGAACTGATAGACAACTATCTTACTATAAATCTAAAGGCACATAAGGAAAGATGTGCAAGAATGTGGTATTTTTTTTTCATTGTGGTACTTTTTATGATACTAATAAAATCATAGACACAATAAAAGTGTCCTTAGGGAAATACAATGGGTATTTCTCTAAAAGGAAATACTGTCTCTGACTTAGAGGAATGCCATCGCACATTTGTTAAATATACTTTGAGACAAACAAGTTGAATAGTAATAAATATGATCCTCTTTGTACAAAACAAGACAACGGAACAAAGCAAAAATAAACCTATGGAAAAACATACCCTAACCATTAGTGTTTATTCCTCAAAGATGTGCCGAGTGGGAGGTACAGAATTGGTGTTTTTGGACACGATGAGAATTTTTGATGAGCAATTTTCCTTCATGGCTGGAGGCTGTACCAGGACTCGAGACACAGAAGCATTTTTCTACTTTATTTTCTTGCCTTCTCCTGTGTGTGGATCAAGGGGCTTGGATAGTGACTTGAGCCCTGCCACAGAGCAGTGCAATCTTTCACATGCACTGCTGAGGGTTAGCACAAGCAAGAGCCAGTACCAAAGTGCATCGCCGGTTAAGGGCACAGCCTCAGCAAGGGAGACAATGAAAACATGGCATCGGCACAAGGATGGTTAGGGAAGGCCAATGGATTATATGATCCTACAGCAGCCCACAGATCACCCTGCGAGTCTAAGAAGGAATTCAAGGTAAAGTACCATTCAGAAAAAGGAACACAGAAAAAATATATTTATGAATTGGTGATGTGATTACTTCTTTTGAAAGAATATACATGATTGAATCACAATTAGCTAGGAAAATGTATTCATCAGGGAGTTATTGCTTTGATGTATAGTATTCAAGAGATTACCGTAGTATATAAAGCAATTATTTAAATCAACACATATGTATGCACAAGATTTACATGTAAATGCACATGTGATATGAACACATATAAATATACCAAATATACATATACACATATCATTTTTATTCAATCTTCTCAACCCATGAGACAGGTTTAATGATCCTGTATTAGACAGATAAACTGCTAACTCCCAAGTCACACATCCTTAAACAGCCGGCCTAGATCTAAAGACCATTCTTAACCCCTGCGGCACATGAACAGATGTCTGCCAAGGCACCCGTGTCTAATACCTCAAAACTGCACATGTGCTGTGTTACATGGTAAGGAAGTTCTCCATTGCTAATGGATGGAGGCTGCCAGTCAGCTGATCTGGGGTGCAGCAGTCCTTCTGGATCCTCTAGGTGCCCAGCGTGACCGGAAGGATGTTTATAAGTGGAAGAGGCAGGTGAGCGATGGAGGGGTCGGAGAGAGAAAGGTTCTGCGAGCCATGACTGGCTTTGAGGATGGAGGGGATCGTGAGACAAGGAAGGGGAGCGGAATACAGAAACCGAGAAATGTACTTCACCGGCTTCCATTGAAGGAGCCCTTCCAATATCTTGTTTTAGCCTAGTTAACCCATTTTGGACTTCTGATCTCCAGAACTAGAAGATAGTAAATCTGTGTTGACTAAAACTACAAACTCTGTAGTACTGTATGACATCAGCAGTAGCAAACACATACAATCCCTACACGAAGCTCACTCTGTTAGTTCATTTTGTCTTGTCATAAACTCCATTTTGCAGTGCTCGAATGCTTCCTCAGTCATTTTTCCATGAAATATACTTGACTTCAAACTGAATAGGATGATTCTGTTTTTTCATGTATCAGCAGACACCGTAGATGTAACCCTCTTCCACTTATCACGGTGGCTCATCAGGCAAGGGAAAGACTTTAACAACCGCCCTCCCGGGCCAATATTAACATCCATCTTGAGTCAGTGGCACAAGGGAAAGCTGATAAAGCACACACGTGACACACTGTACACCGCACACCCACTTAACACGAAGGGTGCTGCACACACATGCAACGTGATACGCATCCTACACATCCACAGGGCGTGCTCTGGTCCTCCCTGCCCAAAACTTTCCCGGAAGACAGACAAAATCCAACCCAATCGATGCGTTCCACTTTGGGAATGACACAGCTAATATCTGATCTTGAGTCTAGCAGAATATAAGGCGGCAAATAATGGCAGAAAATCACTCCTGTTGACTAGTGAGTGAGCAGGACCACAGCTTGGATGTTAAAGAGCAGTAAGTGGTAGTTTTCCTGTTGAGGTAGATGATGGAAGAAGGGAGGGCTCTCTGAAGGGAGGGCTCTACAGAACTACTCGCTGAGAGGTGCACTCATGAATTTAAAAGACTTCTTTATGCATGACTCTTGGGCTCTCAGATGCTATGGATCAGGGGAGGTGACCCTGGAGATCAAGCCTCCCAGATATGTACTGACCCATTCCTTGCTGGCACCATTGCCACCATCTTGGTTCAACCCCAAATCACCTCTCATCTAGGCAAGAGCAGCTTTCTAACTTGTCTTCTGGTCTCCATTCTCCTTAGCCCAGCTCCTCCCTGGTGAGGATTTCACCACTGCCAGAGAAACAAAGGTGAGCTGAAAATGCAAGCCAAATTACTTTATGTTTTCACTAGCCAACCATCTGTGCTTTCTTTATCTACTTCCGAGGAAGCGCAACACCCTTCAAGGGGCCTACCCAGTCTTATCTCTACCTACTTTATAAAATTAATTGATTAATTTATTTATGTATTCATTCATTTATTTTTCAGTGCTGGTGATTTAATATAAAAAGCACTGGTCGCCATCCCTAGCCCTCCTTAATTGTATTTATTTTTATTCATATTAATTTGGTAAGACAGTGTCTTACCAAATTGTTCAGGCTGGCCTTGAACTTGTGATCTTCCTGCTTCATCCTCCTGAGTACTAGAATTATAAGCATGTGCCACCACATTTTTTAAAAAATCTCAGTTAAGCACAAACATTCAGAAAAGTATGCAAAAAAAATTAAATATAATCAAAGACCCATGTAACATACCACGACCTAGATTTATCAAACATTAACATTTTGTAATGACTTCAGATTTTGGTAGATAATAATTTTATATGGCATAATTGAGAAACATAAAATTAGGCTTTAGTGTGATAACAGGGTTATGCAAGCATCACTTTATCAGTTTTGGAACCCTTAAAATCTTCTACCACCAGCCCTTACTCTCCATTTTCCCTACTAACTCCCTAGTATTTCCAGCTCCCACAAAATCACTCACCTAATCTCTCCACCTATAAATTTGCCTATTTTTGACTCATCAGATAAAAGAAATGATACAAGCTGTGGTCTTTTTGTGATTGGCTTATTTTATTGTATAATGTTTTCAGGTCATCTATATTATATAGATCTATATCATAT